TATATATATATATATATATATATATATATATATATATATATATATATATATCTTTTCTCCTTTTTCTTTTTTTTCAAACCCGTCATTAAATAAGTAAAAATTAACGTAATAAAATATATATGGTCCAGCATACAACCTAATTTAATAAGTGTTACCTGTAACACTAAGCACGTGATATCGTCTACTACTTTCGTGCACCTGGCGAATATTGTGACCGAATATAGGAAAAGAACAATATACGTTAAGAAACGAAACTGCCTTCCAGTCTTCGTTATAATGTGGCTACTGTACTGCACACGAAAATTTTCGTCTCTCTACAAGAGATAAGAAGGAGGGGAGATTTATAATCATCCGAGATGGATCTGCTTCTATGCTACTTCTGATCTTATTTCTTTGTCACTGTACAATTATTTTTGTACACCTTGTGTGTATGTATGTGTGTATATATATACATATATACATATAAATGTGTATATATATATATATATATATATATATATATATGTATGTGTGTGTGTGTATGTATATACACACACGCAGCGAACACACAAAGTGTCCGACTATTCTTTCTTAAGGACATTCTTTATGAAATTTGGATATGAGAATCTTTATAAAAAGATATGGATATATGTATATATATTTTTAAGTGGCAAGTAATTTAAATGTTTAAACTAATTATAACGGGTAAAGTTCGCACGCACTTAAATATAGTGCAACATATAACGATAAAGACGCATACATATATCGCTTCATTTTTCGCAGGGATTATAAACATAAAGATTGTAAAATCGCTTCTGTTGAGCATTCATGCATCGTAATATTACATAGGTAATATTATTTGCGTATATAATATTGCGGATATAGAATATTACGGATATATTATTATAGTGCACATACACGATACGATACATGATGTGTAAGGAAAAAGTTATTACGACATTTCTTTTATAAGAAAGAAAGTTAATTTGTTAACTACTTCGAGGCTTTTTCACGTTTTACAAATATTCTATTAAAAAAAATATATAAATAACCGATTATTAAATTTTTTCTATGTTTTAATAGTAGAAAACTCCACATAATATTATTAACATTAAACGACAAACAGATAAATTAATAAAAAACTAATATCTATAATATTATTTTTTAATAACTTCAGTAATGTTTTTTTACATTTCTCATTGATATTTTTAATGTCTTTCGCATGATATATTATTAAAATGGAATTATTATAAATGCAGATTTTACATACATAGATTATTAATAAATTAATTGAGATTGTATTTAATCAAAATATTACAGAATTAATGCTTTTTATAAACGAAGATATATATAACATATGAAACAGCAAATATGTAAAGAAAAAATGACAATTCATGCTTCATATACATTGCGCTATAATTATCCGCAATACTTTAGTGTTAGAAAGTGGTATTATCGGCATGCATAATTCATTTATTCGAGTATCAGTGTAGATGATTATATTATCATTGCATATGTAATTTTCACATCTGTGCACAGCGTATGCGCGCTTTAACACTTTGCGTTGTACCATATCTGAGCGGGTAAACTTTAACTGCTATAACGAGTAAGCTGCACATTTTAATTACATGCCACTTGAAATGTATTTCGATATTTTTCGTGTCATAGGATTTTCGTTCGCGATTTTCTTAGATAATACGTTATTAAAAAAAAACGCGATAGTACCACGAAATATACGTGTATATTCGCCTAGCTATACCGATATTCCCTCCTTTCCTTATTGCTATTATTTTCTCTTTTTGTTTTTATCTTTGTTTCCTCTTCTGTCTTACATTTCTTCAGTCAGTATTTGTACTTTTCTCTCTTTTTCTCTCTTCTCTCTCTCTTTCTCTATAAACAGGATTTCTATTAACCTGCCCTCTTCTTACTATGTCTTGCTATGTCCCGCTTTCTTTTGTTTCTAGATATTGCAGAACCTACAAAAAAAACGCACTGAGCGGAGGGGGCGCCTAAGTTCTGACAATATGACTAAAAAGAAGTCCGGTTTCAGCAAAAGCGACCTTATTTTTAAGGTAACCCGCCCTGACGAACGTGCGAGCTCACGTCCATTCGATTCGCATCGCGAATCGACCTCGGCAATTTTCCATCCGGCTTTCGAGACTCGACAGAAAGAAGTCGATTTTTCCAACTTTCGATTCTTTCCTTTTTCTTCTTTCTTTCGGACGAACACTCGTCTAATATGACCGTTGGGTAACTTTTCGACGATAAAATATTATTAGTAAAGATAATTCATGATTTATTGGTAATAGTTATTCATAATATTCACAAAGCAGGATTCGCAATAACAATTCTAATACATATGTGAAAAGAGATAATTAATATTACATTTATAAAATAATGCTAGTTGAAAGTTTCGGGAGTTAGCTGTAAAGCATCGTTAATGAAATAACTGGCGCTTCGTAGGTTTCGATTTCCGCCACAACATGACGACACAAAGTAAATTAGTTTAGATAATTGAATTATTTTGTATTCTTTAGTAAGTCCCCCAATCAGTTATTGAAATATCCTAAGAGGAATGATTCGTGTATGTATAATATCACGCGAGGACGTACGGATCGATCGTTAACCCGATCGACTGCCGTTCTGTCGGTGTCTCGCATACTAGAAGCGGAGCTGACGAGGTTAATTGGACGGAGGAGCTGTACGCTGATTGGCTCGTTGGTTTATTACAAACATTCAGCTTCTATTTTCCGCCGCATTATACATTACATATACCCGCAGCAATAGGCTATGCTTTTATACATTTCACCATCGGCACCCGCCTAGCGATGAAAAAGTATATGTACTTATTTTGTAACATAATTACATTATGTAACTATGTATATGACTTTAGAGGTCCAACGAATAAAGAGAATACTCAACTTGGTTATGAACGTACGCCATGTTTACACCAACTCTGCGTCGCCTCACAAATATAGAGGTCGCCTCGCAATTTCTTATTGTCGGTCGATTTGCGCGACATTAGACACGCGCTTTCTGTGGAAGTGAACGAACGGGAATCGGTTGTCAAAAATCCGATGTGACGTGTCCGACTTGGACGATCGTCATACTCATTGAACCCTTCCTTTCTGTCGCCACCCTCCCTTTTTCTCTCTCTCTCTCTCTCTTTCTCGTTCTCTCCATCTTTTCTCTATCACTCTCTGTCTTCTGATTCTATTTTCCTCTCGTTGACCGTTTATTGTATCGTCTATGCTCCTCAGATCCTGCTTCCATCTTGCTTCCTTGCTTTCCCACTCCTTCCGCAGCCCGTGACTCGATGGACAACCGCAAACAGCCTATTTCCACGCACTACTTTGAAACGCTTTTAATCGCTAGACGGTGTGCACGATCTTGTGAAAAACGAGCGCACGTGATTGGGCGTCCCTTCTCTGTCGCTTTGTTGCAAATCGCACACTGTATTATTATCATGCGTATATACTCAAAAGACGCATTACACTACATACTTTAGAGATAATACAGAACGAGTAAATAAAAAAAAAGAGACAAGAAGAAAGACAAGCCACGCGAGTGCTTACGGAATAATAAATAGGGTGCAATGTATACGAAAGTAGAGAGCTCGCTTTTCCTGCCGTTACTCCGAACGCTGCGAATAATTTTCACCTTTGTATATCATGCCAGTCGCGCATCTCGCCAGCTGTCTATCATATATTCACTTTTCTCCCTGCTCCTGTTGTCGCTTCTCGATCGAGAAAGTGATGCCGCCGTGTGTTTTGCAATATGGCTATTTGTGTGCTTGCAAAATCAGACAAAGTGAAAAAAACAAATGGATGATCAAAGAGCGAGTCCGCTTTCTAGCTTCATCGCTTGGCTTGCGCCGCTTGACAATACGATTGTTTTGACTTGGCAGCTGCAGTTTTGTTCTTCGTACTTTCTTTTTTCATTTTGATCGTAATCAACCGAAATATCTTGAACGAAGTGTGAAACTCATCCACGACGACGTCTCTTTCGTCGACTAGTTCCTCATCGATTGTTCTCTGTTGTATTTTTGGTTTTGGTAATCCACACTTTTGTGTTCCGTTGTTTGTTGAAGCAATGTTGTTGCCACTTTACAATCGCCATTCGTTAATTATTACACTGATTACTCATGAATCGTTTGTTGATTGTTCATTTATCATCATAGAGACATAACAAACCAAGCTTTCATCTTTACTGGACTATCTTGTAGAACAGAAGGTTGATGTTGAGTTACATTATATCGTTTACCCTTGTGTTCTCGTTTCCTTTGTTAGTTTACAAGAGCCATATGTATGACGCGTTGCGTGGTATGTTTATTGGGACATTGATATGATGTATGTATGCGTGCGTACGTGCGTGTACACAATATTTATTTTAGAACAGGTAATGTATCGAGCTATATGTGGTTTTAGCGATAAGTTGCTCGTGTTCTTACGTGTTACTCCCGTAGGCGCAGAAACAGTACCATTGATCATCATCCACGAACTATCACGATATCCAGATAGATACTAGCCAAACCTACGATGTTTTATTGTATTTAGATAACCAAAGCTCCGCGCATCATCGAAATCCTACGGCGATCGGGCGTTAATATACTATCTTATTATCTCTTATGTATAATTGTACGTAATCTAAATGGGATTGCGCATGCGAGTGTGATCTTTCAACGACTACGGTCTCGAACCCGTTTTCAATCGTAATCGTGCGAGTGATAAAGCTATGCGAAGCCAATTTTCTCGCAATCTTTTTTTAACAACAATAATTTTAGTACCAATAATTTTAGCCAAATTCAGGTGTAAAACAGCAAAGTGCACCATTTTAAACGAACTGTACTATTATTGAATTATTATTTGTAACGTACACGAAATATTCTCATTATTAACTTTGAAATAATTTTATGCATTTAAATCGACTTTCAGATACGATATAAGTACGACTTGGAGATTATATTTTCGCGTGTGGAGTGTGTCTTGGCGGACGTAATCGTTGTAACGTAAAGATATATAAAAACAAATTATTCTCAGCAAGACAAGACATCTGTTTGAGTAGTTTGTTGTGCGTCATTATGTCGGTACTGCAATGGCTATGTCACTTCTGCGGTTAAATGCAAAAGAGTAATTGTTACATTCTAGTTTTTATATAATGAGCAGGTCCTACTGCCGTACGATTTCAAAATCATCGTATCGCGATTGCCCAAGACTCGATGAAAAACGATCTAGTCGAACTAGTCCTCCGCTTTGTTTCTTGTTTGATGTCATCGATTAAATCTGTTACGTGAATTATTCATTCGGTAATGCAAAGAAAATTTCGCGGATTTCCTTCCCGCTTGAAATTTTTTAATTTTTAACTTCCAATTTTACGGAACGTACATTAGCGTGATCGTACGATTAAATAAAAAAATAATTGAGTACGACAGTCAGAACATGAAAAAAGAAGGGTTAAAAAGAAAAAAATAGCATTGCGTTTGAAGCATCTGCGAGTATTTGGGCAAGCGCGTTTAATTTCGAAAACTTGGAACTCACCGCGTTTATAACGAGGTCGAATTCGGGAATTTTCTCTGCGTATGTTTCAACATGGCTGCGGTAATATGTATTGTATTGGAAATGCACACCGCCGCCGGTGGGGCATTCGAATGGAATTTCCCGAATATAGACCACGGTGCATGACACATTCACTATTGCGCGCGTGTCGTGTCTCGTTACAAATGTACGCATACATACGAAAATAGTGTGTATATATATATAAAAATATATATATATATATATATATATATATATATAATAATTACAGGGTGTCTAATAATGATACAATGATACAATGCTTGTCTGCATGTAAAAAATATCAAACTGAACTAGAAAGTCATTTATTATTATGCATATTTCGCAATAGCTAGATAGTGGAAGTATGCAATCTAGCATCACGTACCGCCTATCAGAAGATTATCAACATCTTTTCTATAGAGTTCATCCTTTTAGCACTCGTCAATATTATTTAATTAATTTTTTAATAATTATTACGAAATTTGCAAAATGGTAGAGGACTTTCCTGTTCAGTTTAATATAGTCTACTGCAAAAAAGCAGTTTCTTATTAATAATTATCAGATACCTTGTATGTGAGCGTGTGTATGTCGTGCACGTGTGAGTAGAGAATGTTAAAAAAATTTGAGTGACAAACTTTGTGAAGATATAAAAGATATCAAAACCAACATTTTTTTTTGTTAACATTTTTTGCAATAACATTTTAGTTTCCGTGTTATGTTATATGCTACATCTCGATTTAGTGTTTGCTAGCATAAATCTTCGTCAAGGAATGAGTTATCTTTATGTTCTTGTATTATATACATATACAATATATTAACAAATTAGACTTGAGAATACTTGAAAATATTTGAAAATTAAATTTGAACACTTTGAAAAGACGTAAAAACGTTAAAACAAATATTTTTTTGTTGATAACGTTTTCCCCAAAACATTGTCTTGTTTTAACATTAGATGATGTGAACTAGAAATTTTGTAAATGCAAAAATAATTAACGAATGCAGGAGTATCATATCGTTATTTCAAAAAGAAATAAATAAAAAATCTTTTCATAAAAAAAAATAAATAAAAATGCGACTTATTTTTCACGACAAAGATTTCTGCTAACAAACGTTAGTTCCATATATACCATGTGACATAACATAAAAAAGCAAACTGTCGTTACGAAAAATGTTATGAATAAATTTGTTTGTTTTGATGTTTTCTATATTTGCACAGAATTTGTCGGGCTAATTCCTTAACATTCTGTGTGTATGTGTGCGCGCGCAGTGCGTGTCATGTGCGCGCATTTGACATACATACAGTATATTGGGTGTCCGAGCGCTTGTAGGCAGGTAGAACTTATAAACAATTTAAAAATATCTTCTACCATTTTAGAAATTACCATGGTACCTATTGAGACATTAATGAAAGAAAATTGGTGAATGAATGCGTATAATGTGGTAGGACAATTTCTATAGGCAATTAAACGTCTAAATGTAAGTAAATATATAAAGAAAAGACATGATTTCATATTAAGTTCATGCTTATATTTGCTTTTACTAAGAGATCAGAAAACAATTCCAAAATATATCTCTTCACACAGACTGCTCCAGGTAATTCATCCCATCATATCAAACGCATTCGCCAATTTTTTTCATTAATATCTCAATAATTACCGTGGTAATAAATATCTCAATAAATATCGTGGTAGAGAATTTTTCTGTTGAGTTCAACGATCTCTGTCTACACATGAGCGTTCGAACATCTAAATTCAGACACCCAGTATACGTACATAACGTATGTATATAATCATAAAAACATGAACTGCAATTCATAATACCTTTAACGATCCTTAGATAATTTTATCCTTAACTTTCGATTAATAGGAGAACGCTGAGACTATTTGACTTCGATTTTTTTTAGTAATGGGCCGATAATTTCGTGTAGAAATCCGATCGAAAATCCGCGTGTAAAGTATTGTCTTATCGTTTGTTATACTTTGTCGTTAATTATATAATTTACTCCAAAAGTAAAATTAGTCATTAGAATGACGCTTTTATTAACATCTTCAGTACCAAAAACGAGAATTCTCGTCAACAGTAGTGAAGGAATTAAAATCTAATTTTAACGCGCTACGTTGCTGAGAAATGAGGGAATGAAACATTTTAATCATGCAATAATTATTTCGAAGCAATTGTATTTTTCACATGAATGACAATTATCAAACTAGAATATCGGAGTCAGAATGTTCTCCGCTTCCTCCAGCTTTTTATTTTTAGAAAAGTACGGACGGATTCCCATATCGTACTTATTGCGCACGATAATAGAACCGAACATTACAATTTACATTCGAGACCGTACCGATTGCATCGACATTATTAGATGTCAATTGTTAGCGGTCAATTGTTTCTGTTTTTACGTTATATTAGCGCATAAGCGGTTTGAGAATCTTGGCCCAACCAGTTGCAAACAATCGATATCTCTTCTTTTTCTTCCTTTTTTTTTCTTAGTTCAATTAGAGCATTCGTAGAGTAACCAGTGATTTGCGTTTCTATTAACATTTTTTAGGTTACATTGAATTGTTATTTTGTGTGTCACGTGATGCGTATTTTCTAATGTAGCATGCTTTTCTTAACGAACAAATAAAAAAAATTACAGACTCGAGAATATAAACGGTGATGAGACAAATTACGAGAAATATGACACTCTCACCCAAATTATCCGCGCTAAGATCTGAGTACGAATGTAAATTCTTGCTCGATGTATGCTTATTTTTAATGAATATCTTGACTAGTTGCCCTGAGTTTGAACTCGTTGTAACATGTTTCAAGAAGGATACCTCGACTTAGAAAATAATTACTAGAAAATTCGCGATTTCGTGGATAATGGTGCAATTTAACTGGTTAAATGGCTGAAGAGAAAATTAGGGAATGCTCCGTGGAATTCGATGTACGTGTACTGATGCTTTCGGGCGATGAATAATCGATAACCCACCGGATCTTAGTGACGGATCTCGTCACGTAGTTTACTCAGTTCTCCCAAACCTAAGCAACAGAAACAATAATAGAAACAGTGTATTCGACGAGTTATACCTAACGCGTTTTTGTGCAACACTCGCTTATTTGCTGTACACTACGCAACCGGAGCTTTGGATGACGAGAGAAGTTTCTAACCCCAAAAAGAAGTGTGAAAAACATTTCGCCACAACTGATTTGACACAAAAGTAAAGCCTTGTCGTTGTTGTTGACAGTTCCTGAATATGGCGTCGGTGTTCATGCGGATTTTTAACCTGATCTGTATGATGCTCCTAATCGGCCATTGGAGTGGCTGCCTGCAATTCTTGGTACCTATGCTTCAAGGATTTCCCAGTAATTCTTGGGTAGCCATTAATGAATTACAAGTGAGTGATTTGCTTATTAGTATCGGATTAACATACAATATAATTAAAAATCGCAGAGTGTGTATGGAAAAGACTTATGTAATTTTCCTAACATTTGCACATATCTGATATTCAAGTTTGAGAATCACTTAATCTTATTGCCAACAAATACAAGAGTGGCCCACATAACTCTTAACAACTCGATATCTTGGAAATTATTTCATCGATTTTAATGATTTAAGTCTTGAATTGTATGGATCTGAAGAGCCTTCAAACTGTAATGGAAGTTGGTCCCCTAACCTCTGTTGCGTGGGTGGAACGGGGATTAACTTAAAAACTTTTAATAAAAATGTCTATGAAAAATTATATTTTTTAATTCTTTGGACAAAAACAACTTAGTTTTATGAATTTTCGACTTCAAAGCCGTCATATTTTTTAAGAGAAGCATCTGACAACAAAATGTTTCGAATAAAACTAAGTTGTTTTTTCCAAAGAATTAAAAAATATAATTTTTCATAGGCATTTCCATTAAAAATTTTTAAGTTAACCCCCGTTCCATCCACAAGAAGTTAGGGAACCAACCTCCATTCCAGTTTGAAAGCTCTTCAGATCCACACAATTCAAGATTGAAACCATTAAAATCAGTGAAATAGTTTCCAAGATATCGAGTTGTTAAGAGTTATGTAGGCCACCCTATATAATTGTTGTAACAGAAATATTACGTGCAACTAATATGTTACACAAACTTTGCGCGCGTGCACGCAACACTGCCCCTCCCCTCTCTTTCCCTCTTCCTTCCTTTTTTCTCTCTCTATACTTGTGCGTGCGGATGTGAGAGGAAAAGAGGAAGAAAGAGGGGGAGAGAGAGAATGCTACAGATATATCCGCAAAAATTACGTGTTTCAATACTAACATTAAGTTTGTTAAAAATTTCTTTTGTTAATAATACTTTAATAAACAATGATAGACGGCTATAAATTTTTTAACTCGGAGAACTGACTTTGATAATATATGTTATTTAGATCATTGAGAGAGAAGCTATGATTAACCATCGAAATAATTGCTTACAAATTATCAAGAGTTAAGATCGCGTGAGACGCTAATAAACGTGGAATTCACTGTCACGCATTTTGTGACAAAATCGATGATCAACGATCGAATACACGCCCATGACGGTATACTTGCAGGACTCGTTTTGGTTGGAACAATATTCGTGGGCCCTCTTCAAAGCAATGTCGCACATGCTGTGTATCGGATACGGCAGATTCCCGCCGCAGTCCTTGACCGACATGTGGTTGACTATGCTCAGCATGATCAGCGGTGCGACGTGTTACGCTCTTTTTCTTGGACACGCAACAAATCTCATTCAATCTCTTGACTCCTCGAGAAGACAATATCGCGAGAAGGTATAGTTGTAACGATACGAGTCATCGACTTGTGAAATAAATCGCGAATTGGAGTTGTTCTGGCTCTCTCGACCAAAATTAAATTTTCTTTCTCTTTGATTGCAGGTAAAACAAGTGGAGGAATACATGGCCTATCGAAAATTACCGAGGGAAATGAGACAGAGGATAACGGAATATTTCGAGCACCGCTACCAAGGAAAGTTCTTCGACGAAGAGTTAATCCTTGGGGAGCTTTCGGAAAAATTGAGAGAAGTATGATATTATTGATATATATTATATGATATTAATCATGTTAAAATCGTAATAATGTTTTTTTGTAATGATAAAACGATTTCTAGGAAGAAATATTGAAAAATACATAATATTGTTTTTTCTAATGATATACTTTCACAATGGTCATCTATGAAATGTTTGTTTCCGGTTTTGATGAAACTTTTGATTGTACTCGTAAAATGGCCAAAATTAAAAAAAAAAACACATAAAAACACATTTTTATCGGCTGAAATATAAATTTAAGGAATGGAACTATTTCATCCCGTTTTTACTTTCTCGGAAAATATTATAAATACATAAAAAACTTTTTAGGTAGAAATCTTTTTTTACGCTTTTTGGTATAAAATACAATAGTTTACATATAGACAACAAGAATGTTAATTTATGTCAATCTCAATGTTTACTATTAAACAATTAAGGGTTTTTGATGTACCACAATCAACAAAAAGAAAAAAGTCAATGCAAGGTGTCAGTTATGAAATCTTTCAACAATTCCTAATTTATTATAAAGACAAAAAAATAAACTTTTTAATTTCAAATATATATAAATTTAGAATAAAAAACTTATTATTTATTAAGAATTTTAATAAATAAAAAATTTAATTTAATTTAATTTAAGTTAGAAACAAACTATTATTGATTGTATAAAACATTTTTTTATTAATATTGCATTTCACACAATTGATCATAAATATTTATTTAAGAAAGTTATTTTGTATCTTCAACAGTTACGAGAATTATCAAAAAAAGAATAAAATTCTAGGGATTATTTCATTTCTTGCACTCTTAGATTGCATTTCAAAACGTCCCTGCCGAGGAAAATTTTACTCTTAAGTCTATAGTATGTATAACATGAACTATAGATTTAACAGTAAAATTTTCCTCGAAAAAGATGTTTTGGCAAGCAACCTTAATAAGTAAGAAATTATATATTTTTAAAATTTTGAAAACTCTACAAGTATGTGAAATTTCATCCACATTGAAGACGGACATTTCATAGATATTCTTCGTATATAATTATACTATACGAATCGTGTCTTATTTTAGGATGTGATCAACTACAACTGCAGATCACTAGTAGCGTCTGTGCCCTTTTTTGCCAACGCCGATTCAAATTTTGTCTCGGACGTCGTCACAAAACTCAGATACGAAGTCTTCCAGCCAGGTAATTTTTATCATTATCTGTACAAAGATCTTTCCACACTTGTTCGTTCTGTATTCAAATTATGCATATTTAGGTACTAATTCTATATTTCATAAGATTAACTTGGAAGTAGAAGCGCTTTAAATCGTTTGCCGTATTCATTTGTTTTTTAATTGTACTAGAACAAAACAGACGCGTGCTACGCGTACGTTATTGATCGATAACATTAAATTTATGTTTTTTTCATTAGAAAAAGGGAAATACATTCATAGGAAAATAAGTCACATAGGTCATAGAATACGAAAAAATTAAAGAAAATGATAGAAAATGGAAGACCATATGGTAGAAGAAATACTTAATACACGATCTAATTAACATGATCTCTCCATTTTTCTTCTTCTTACTATTTCTATTCTCCTTCTCTTTTCCTCTTTTTGTTATTTCATAATAAAAGATATTCTTTATTTTCTTTTCCTCTCATCCTCGCTCTCTTACTCTCTTGTTTCCTTACTCTCTCACTCCTTCGCTCCCTTGCTCTCTTGCTCCCGTACTTTCTAATTCCCTCGCTCTATATAGTCTTCTATATAGTCCTTTCGCCTTCTCGCTCTCTCTCTTTTTATTCTCTTTTTTATTCCTTTCTTCTTCTCGTCACTCCTTTTAATTAAAATAGTGGGTAAAAGTAACACAAAGTATAGATAACTCCTTAAATTATCTCTCAATACTCTTATTCTCTCTATCACTATTTAAATTTTTTTTGTTTACCTTTATTGTTTTTCATTCCATGTCGTTTTCTCTACTATACTCACCTATTTTTTAACATTATCCCTTTCTCTTTCGTGTTCCATGACTTATTTTTTCATCCTCTGATAATGTGTAGATAACAAAATAATAAATATGAACGAATAGTTAAAAGTGAACAGAAGAAAAAAGAATAAAAGTGAATAAAATATAGATTCAGATAAAAAGAAGGAGAATAAGAGAAATTATAAAAGAAAATTTATAATGGTATGAAAATAAATGATAGAATGAAAATAAATGGAACAAAAAATTATTATACATTCTTAATTTTTCGCACTCTTTTCTATTCTTCATTACTGTAAATTTCTCCCTATACTTTCCCAATTTCTCAAATTCTATCTCGATCTTTTTATTCTATTAATTTTTCGCACTTTTTTCCATTCTTTATTACTATAAATTTTTCCCTATACTTTCCCAATTTCTCAAATTCTATCCCAATCTTCTTATTCTATTTCCTTCTATTCGGATCTCTTCGAATTACTTTTATTCTTTTTTAATCTACATAATTATCTCCCGTTCTCTATAATTTTCTTTCATTCTCTAGCAATCTTTAATAATGACATAATAGACAATAATATCGAATGAAAGAGAGAAGAATAAAAGTGAATAGAAGAAATTAAGATATAATAAAATATAGCCAAACCTGCGCAAAGAAATGTTGAGCAGGGCCTACTACAAATTTTTGATCGCAAGAAGGCCATTTTAATTGATTATTTTACTTACATTTTATATCTCTCTTTCTCTGAATTTTCTCTTTTCATTCTTATTACATCATTATATCATTATATCATTGTTCCCTTACATCTTTTTCTTCTTGAATCTCTTTCTCCATTTTCTATCTATTACTTCTATTTGTTATCCTTTTCTTCCTTTTTGTTGCTTTGTATCTGATTTATTTCTCCATTTTATATTTTTGTCTTCTTTTTGTCTCTTTCTCTATCTCTACTTCCCGTTCAACTTATAAAACTATACAGATTAAAAATATAACCAGGTTTATACGAACTGTCACTCGACTCAGATGATGAGAGTAATCTCATTTCTATGTCATTCGACTTAGATGATGACGGCCGCACGTAGCGCGAAGCTGATCGTTGAGCGCACAACCAATCAGCAGTGTGGAATAGCGGTTTCAACATTTTGATAATTTCGAGACGACTTTGATACTTTCGAGATTACGATTCGATTGCCATGCTTTTTTTAGAAGGGGATTAAAACTAATTTATGAATAATTTTATATTTAAATCATGTAAATTCATTATATTTAATTCATGTAAATTTTTCATAGTCTTTCTTTCAATAATCCCGTGTAGAAATTCGTTAGGGAAGGCCTAACGTAATAAAAAGTCCCGATCATTATTTGTTAAGGATGCCATAAGAAAGACTTCCTTATTTTTACTCGATGAGACCCCGATTATTATTTATTAGGGGTGCCATAAAAGTTTCCATATTTTTACTTGATGAGGCCATGATCATTATTTATTAGGGGCACCATAAGAAACGCTTCCTTATACTTATTTGATGAGGCCCTGATCATTATTTATTAGGGACGCTATAAGAAAAATTTTCTTATTATTCCTGATAAAGTACTCTCTTTTATCAGGAATTTATAAGGATATTTTAATTTTATAAATATTTATTTATTTGGGTCAATTGCAAAAGTCAGGAAAAGATTTATAAAAAATATAACGTGTAAGAAAAATAAAGATTTAATAAAGTTTATTTTGTATGACACACATACATGATAAGAACTTTTTATTAAAATTTTTATTAAAATTTATTTTATTATACAAACACTTCATGTATATATATATATATATATATATATATATATATATATATATATATATATATACATAT